TTTGATGTTCCTGAACTAAAAAGACCATTGTAGTAACATAAAAAGAAAATAAACTAATTAATTAATGAAAATAAAATGAAATGACATATTAAAATGTAATAATAATTGTGTCAATCATGTCAAGTTTTCATTTTCTATGTTTTAATTATGTAATTTGCTGTGTTTGTAATTATGTATTGGAAAGAACTGCAGTCTGATTAAAGTAATTAGAAAGATACATGTACTAAAAATACATGTACTAAGTGAACTAAAACAATATGAGCAGAATAACCGTAAATGAATAATTATAACTAATAATAATGCACGGTAGAAACAAAATGGCCTCAGTGAAACAATGTAAATAAATAGAGGTCAGTAATTGCAGGTATCTAACAGTTAACCCTGCAGTTCTCAGCCTATTGTTCAGGGTGTGACCTGCCCTCAGGCTCAGACCGAGTCCTCTGTCCACTAATGGCTCAGTGTTTAGGAAGATGAATGAGGAGGTAATGGGACGTGAGGACCGTGTGGATGGACCGTGGGAGAGGTGGAGGGGGGGCGTGAATGTCTGCTGCAATTTAGAGTCCAAAAGCCAAATATTAAAATGAATCCCATGTCACTTTTTAATATAAACAAAAACATGTTCACAATGTTGTTACATATTTGCAAAATCAAAAGGTGAAAATATGAGAGTGAATGGTTCTAAAATGTCAGTGCATGCAATTTACTCATTTATTTATTTATTTTTTAAGGCACACTCTGATTTTAAGGCACACTCCAATTTTTTGGACATAGGGCCTCATTTCCTAGTGAGCCAGAGTGTTGGAGATGTGTGGAGACACTTTTTAAAATATTCCATCCAGTTCTTGTATTTGCAAAGGTCACTGGTGCTAGGCTAGTGCATGTCAATGGCCATAGTTAGCCTGCCACTAAAAACAGTCTTATCCATTCCACAAAACACCCGAAGGAAAACAATTATTACGCCAGACTGTTGGTGTAAATGTCTGTGTTGATAGAATAATTTTAGAAGTAAAACCAACCTTGCATTTGAAGGATTTATGTCTGAGCAGCAGCAGCGAGTTGTACTTCCTGATAGAAAGCTTGGCACTGATATTACCTAGCACCTACGTTACTGGCAAAGTAACATTTCACTGCTACTGAGAAAATAGTCCCTCAACATGCGACGATTCATGTGATGCAAGGTTAGAATAATGTTCAAAATAAAACTATCAACACAGACATTTACATTGACAGTCTGGCGTAATAATAGATTTGTTTCGGGTGTTTTGTGCTTTGTGGAGTGGGTAAGACTGTTTTTAGTGGCATAACTATGGCTACTGACATGCGCTAGTGACCTCTGCAAATACAAGGACTGGTTGGAATATTTAAAAAACTGTCTCCACACGTCTCCAACACTCTGGCTAACTAAGAAATGAAGCCCTATGTCCAAAATTCCAGACTCTCCCTTTAATTTAAGACCTTATTGTTTGCATGGCTTTATTTGGACGTAGTTTTATTTGGCTGTTTTATGCAGCGACGCAAATTCCTACTTTGGGAATTGTTCACTTACAACGGCAATTAAAAAAAATCTGGTTCTGATTAGAAGCAATAAGTGTCATTCTTGTTGCCTATGACAGCAGTAAATTAGCATACTTATTACAATTTTTTGCTGTGCTTTTTGCGACCATATGTTTAGAGTTAGACAAACTTTTGATCCACAAGGGAAACTATTTGGAAAGCTGATTTTAAAATGCTTAGAAACATGCGAGTGAATGATTCGTCGTACTGTGAGTCTTCACCTGTAATTAACGCCATTATCTGGTGATTGTGGGGGGTGTGACCTGCCTGAGGCCCCATGCTGCTGGGACAAGAATCACACAGTGGCACCCTTAAAGAAAGCACAGAATGACATAAGGTTGTGCAAGGAGGTTGTGGGCTCAATTCTTCCTGATTTCCACACATTGAATTGGTCCTGGGAACGTCTTTCTGCCTTTGCTGTCTTAGGTGGTCCTCCTTTTGTCCAAAGAAAATTACAGTTTAGAATGAGTGACTATTGTCCATTGTCCAGGAAAGCCCACCAAAAGACTACAATTTTGGGCATAGATTCCACCAGTAACCAAACAAAAAGATTATCTGATGAATGCACTCAACACCTTTATATCAAAACCCTTTCTAGTTCTTCAGTTTTCATCTCAACAAATATAACAACTGGATATAGGACTATAGGCAAAGCTTGGAAACACTAAGTAATTTCTGAGTTTCCTTCAGAACAGCTGATTTACGCTCCAATGCAATCGCTAAACTTTGTGGTGTAAACTACATTTCTTACAGTGTTATTTGACATGACAACATCGATCCAAACCAAATAAACCTGCCGCACGACGGCTTAGGTATTTTCGTTGGTAAGCCCCATTTAAATATCTGTCACTGTACTTCCATTTGCATGTCAGACAACCCACCAAGCAGTAACAGCTAGGAACAGAGCTGCGCCAAAACATGTCTGTCAAGGAGCAAATAAAAAAGACTGTTTCCTGCTAAATTCTCTCAATCAGTAATTCATGACGGGTACAGATTTTTGATATATGAAGCGATTACTGCATATGAGCCGCTCCTTGGATCTGTGTCCATCTCCAAACCTGGAAATTAAACCTGAAAAGCAAACAAAGGGGCCCATATTACACTTTTTTTCTGATCTACAGTATGTTATAGTGGTTCCTCGTTGCAAACATACCTGGAGTTGTTTTGTTTCATTGCTTCTCTTGAGTCATTTGGATGATTTCAGCCCTACAATTGTCAATCTGAAGAAAAGGTATATTAAGCTGATTCATCAGCTGGTTTCACTTTGTGGAAACCATCTGGCCTTGCAGCATTAGGATTCATTCACTCAACGGTAGGCAGCTATTTTTTTTTATTTAACCAATCGCTGCTATTTGGTCGTGATGTATGTAATGCACCCGGAACGCTCAGTGGTGTCCAAATAATTGCCGGTACAACAGCAAACAAAGCAGAGAGTGAACGTGTTTGTCATGAGATAATTGTCGTTTCATGAAGATTAACTTAATTAAAAGTGCAATAAAAAATGCAAAGTTTGTATTACACAAAGGAAGCCCAAAGGAGGACAGCGTATGCAGTCCACTATCGCAGCTTGGGCTGGTTTCGCTTTTCACTGATTGGCCGGTGTGCAGTCTACAACTTCCGGGGTTCTTGCAAACCGTCTAGTGTATTCCGATTCCTGACCTAGTCGCTGGAGAGAAATGAAATTGAGCAGAGGCACTAGGTGGCCCAGCCTGGCTAAAGGTATATAGCGGTTTACTTGAAAACTACCACTTCATGACATCACGATGTGGAACAGAGCAGATTGAGCTTTGGAGACTTAGACAGACTAATACTAAAAGTTTACTCAAACATGTGTAAGTGAAACAAAACACAACCCCAGGTGTTTTCGAGGAGGTAATAATGTCATAACATAGCTCAAACCTTAAAGTGTCAGTTTTGTGTAATATAGGACCTTTAACAGAATGTTTTACGACTCAAATACCGGATGGCGCAGACTTAGCCGACGTTGATGGGGGTCGCCAGGTGTCAGGGAGCGGCGGTAATACTATTTGGCAAACGGAAAGCAAAGATCAAAGCTGCGAGTGCACCTGCTGACCCGTACAATCTCGTGACTAATGTCTGGGCCACTCTGAATGTAAACGCACCAGAAATCCAGCTCATCAAAGTCTGGCTCAAGTGAACTGTTCAAAGGAAAAGCTAAGATATATATAGCCATAAACATCATTAGCAGTCCATACGATTTCTGTGAAGCTTTTGTATTGATCAGTGTGGTGTGGCACATTGTTTGTTTTGTTTGTTTTATTTTTTCAAGAATACCGGATGGTGCTACCCCAAAACCATAATGGAACAAGAACAAGGTTTAGCCTAAAATAAAACACATTAGGCCTATATTTGTGTTATCAATATGTCCAGGGAAAGTCTTGGTTGTTTAAGGCATTACATTTTTTTTAAAAACATTTTACAAAATGACACAATGCACAAATGAAATAGTAGAAAATGTATTAGGTATTTATGCAATCAAGACTACAGAAAACAAATCCAAAAACGTTCAATTTGTCTTCTTTTTATATCCAAAGAGTTTTTTTTTTCTTCTTAAGCATATACCTCCTACCTTATAGTTTTTAATGGCCTAAATTTGTGAAGAAAGAAACGTTACACGCTCTATCAAACTGAGTGAAAGGATCATTAAAATATGCACTAAAGAGTTTAGAAAATTCTCCCCATAATCAGACTCTATGGGCTATTTATGTGTAGACTGGAATATTAAAACAATTCGAGAACTTTATTCAGAGCACCAAGTCATTATAAATTCTCCAGTTTTACGCATGCGTAAAGGCAGCAAAGAGTGAGCGCAATCAAAGGAGTGAGAGTGCGCGAGGCTGTGCGCGTGCGTGCGTGCGTCTGCTGAATCAGGAGCATGCGGCTGTGTGGAGCCAGATGAAGTGACGTCGGGCTGTCAGCGTGCGTCTGAACGCTTCACCACACCGGGAGAAAGTAGGGGAGTGAAGGAGAGTGGCTCCAATTATCCCGCTGTAATTAACGCAATGTTAAATGAGAAATGAGGCTCCACTCCCTTAGTATGTGGGTTACTGTAATGACATACCGAAGGACGGCTTGTGGCATAATAAAAAAAAAGGAATTCCTGTCGTGATATTCATTGAAGAATGTGACTTCAAACCCAATCGTTGGATTTTTGTGATCAAAATGCAAATGGTGACAGAGGCGACGCAGATTAAGTATAGGGGCAGGCAAATGGTACGCGGGGATAAAGTGTTTGTGAGAGACGAACTATTTAGTGCGGACTGAGGATGTGTGGCTTAAGCCGTCAGCGAGCACACTGCTGGAGGAAAGCGAGGGAGTTACTGCGAGGAGGGAGGGCAGATGGGACGGGGGCAGGAGTGAGAGAGAGAGAGAGAGAGAGAGAGAGAGAGAGAGGCAGAGAGAGAGAAGAGGGAAGAGGTGAGCAGCGCACACACGTCGCACTATCAACTGGACTCATCTGAGAAAACAACTGCGCAGCGTAACGCAAGAATCCAAAGACAAGTTTTGACCTCCGCGTTGCACGGCAGTTAGTATGGACCGGGCGACGGGTTCCACTTTCCCGGCCGCCGCTGCTGCTGCCGCTGCTGCTGCTGGCGCCGTGTCCGGGCAGAGGAGCCGAAAAGCGGGCTCTTTGATCCACCAGCTGCCGCTCTTCGCCCACTGCGGACAAGCTTGAGTAAAGTTCAAGCGGAGGAACACGTCTACGGAGCTACAAAACAACTCAAAAGAACAGACACTCCAGTGCGTAATATGGCACAGCGCGCGGATTTAACTGTGGAATAATGCCTTTCTGTGGACTCGCCGGGGTTTTGCTTCTTTTCGACTCGAAGCAGCGGCATTACCGTGCGGACCTTTACGTTGTTTCACGCAGTGAGACCGCATGAAGGACACAGACGCGGAGAGAAAAGTTGAACGGTAGCGGGGTTTGGGATGGATAAAGGCTCGCTCAAGGTAAATGCAACAATTTTAGCGTCCAAATTTGAGGAAAATGTTGTAGAAAGTTTGCTATTTGTAGAAAAAACATAAATTTTATTATAATTATGTAAAAAATCTTGTGCTTTAACGGTTAGAAATTGGATAAGATGGACAAACAAACGCACAGGTTTTTCTTTGGTAAAAATAACTCAGTGCGACGCGGACCTCTGCGCGTACGTTTCGAACACTGCACGGTTTTCAACCCGTCTTTGAAATAACGCATTCACACGAACACAACACTCTGGGTAGCCTTTGAAGCCCGTACCTGATCCGCCTCTCATTGCCCCTTAAATACCACGACCATTTGAAACTTTTAATTGCGTTTTCTGCCTCTAAATCCACTTCTAATCCGATTGTCCTGGCCACATATCACAGCGTTCATCTCCTCGCCAAGGAACTGTGCTCCCTCAACTGGAAATCTAAAGAAAAGAAAAAGGGGAAAAAAAGTGTGTTTGATGTGTCTGTGTTCATTTGTTCGTCTCCCTTGGTTTGAAACGACTGGCAACTTCATAGAATGCCATTTTCTTATAGAATTTGCATCTTGCGTAGTGGCGTTTATTTACATAGGGTGTAATAGTCTTGATGCTGCTCCTGCTCCTGCTTTCACAGTCGGTCCCCCTGCCATGGCTGGAGATTTCATCGCATCAAGCGCGCTGCTCATTCCGCCCGGAGCATATTTGATTAAATTTAGCCCTTTCAATTTACAAAGTAGATCGCGGATGTGTGTCAAAGGATTGTTTCCCCATCACTGCTATAAAGAGCTCATGTGCAGGCACCATCTTGTCAACAAACAACACAGGGAATTTTAAGAAGGACTCTAAAGGCAAATACATGCTTTTGCTTGAGTTTGCTTGCTCTCAGCCATGTAATATTTAGCACCCGTGTTTAGAAACGCACTGGAAATTAGGCACAGCATCAGAATTTCTATTTTATGAAGTCTTGTCTTGACAAATCCACCAGGACACCACTCACGGCTGTTACTGCGCTTAACATTCAACCCACAGTGCTTCTCAGTAATGTGTCTCATCCAACATTGACTCAGGGCGGAGTTTGAGTTAGGTTGAAAGCACAGATGACAAGGAGTATCTTTCAATCATATGCGGGGAGAAAAAAACGTGAGGGGTCATAAAACTTGAAATAATGGATCTCTAGTATAGGTCTGCTTTAATCCTTTGGCCTTGTGCTTTGGTTAGAAGCTCACCGTGCTGAAAAATAGCTTGTATCGATCATTTACGGTAGGTGAAGGGGCTAAATTATTTTTCAATCCAATTTCATTTGACAGCTTGTATATGTCACTCCACGGACAGGAGGAGCTGCTTATTCCAGCTGCCTCCATATCTGCCCAGTTTGTCTTCCTTGTTTACTTTCTACCTGTAATACCAACTATAAAGCTGATCTATAATTAACATTCAAATCAACCATAATTAGAATGCAAAGGCTGCTGACGTTTTATTATACAGTGTTTTCTGCAAACATTTCCAGTGTCGATCAGATCTCATTATGTGTAAAACTTGATAATAGGCCGGCATAGAAGTTATTGAGTTTACATTTTATGGCTTAAATCTTATCATATGGCCTAAAAATAACATTTTTTCCCCCCAGTAGAGTAAAGTAAAAGTACACACATAAATATCGACCTACAAAAAATATAGTTCCATCATTACGTATTGAACTCGACGCAGTAATTATTGTGGCAGGCCTATTTTCTAACCCTATATATAGTATCTATAGATACTTGTACAAACATGTTTAGAAATTCGTGTTCTTCTTGTACTAGCACTTCTCTTTATATATTAAAGGTGCACTGTGTAACTTTTCAATTGTCCACTGTATAGTATTAAACTAAACTAATCTGTCTTGCATTTATTTACTACACGTGTTAGTTATTGCTCAAAAATATCTTAAAAGCTATCCATTCTTACTGTGAGTGGGGTCATTTCTCAACAAATCCAACCTGTAATCTGGTAAATCTATGGCCATACTGTGAAACATTCTAGGCGCATCTCCATGGAGACAAGCAGGTGACGGACCCTACAGCAAGTTACACAGTTACACAGTGCACCTTTAATGCTCCAGGATATGTAGGCTGTAAAATGTGTACTTTGAATAGAATCTTGCTTTTAAACCATAAATCGCTAATCTAATCAGAGTAATTGCCTTATAATCACAATTATACATTTGTTCAACCCTTGCGGCGATAAAACTTCACAGTTGTGATGGTGGGTGGCTCTGTATAATAAGTAACTTCTCCATGGGCCACCAGTAAAAACATAACCTGTGTTTAGTGTAAGCACGAGGGTGTTTACAGTGCAGCTCAGCGCACAACCTTCACTGCAGCGGACAGCAGCCCGGTGTTTTCATCTGTACACTGCTCACATCTATAGGTAGTACTTAAGTATGGTAAACAGAGAGGTGTGAGGCTTTGGACCCTCAGGCCAGATCTCAGACATTATTGCTCTTAACCAGGCATCAGTACTTTGTCAGAATTTATTGATAATCACTCACTTTCAAACATGAAAAAAAGAATATAAAACATATATGATTTAAAAGATGTTTAATAATATAGTTAATCCTAGTCTTAACTCCTTCAAAATGATATAAAATCCCGGGTACATTTTATAATATATTCAGTGTGGCTGACATTGGTGTTACTGAATCCATGTGTGTGCCCTTGCAGTTCTCTATTCCCCTGGCCGAGCGAAAGGGATAAAAGGCTTCTTTATGTCTGTGAAACCGGATGTGCCAGAGCGGTTCTGAATATTTATCAGTTTTGACTCTATTTTTTAATAACCACTGAATGATTTGAGCTCAGCTCTGAACGCCAGGCTTTGTGACATCCTGCCTGGTTTAGAAACAAAGATGAAAAGTGAAGCAAAGAAAACAGTGTGGATGTTTGTATGTGAATAACAAGCCCCAGAAGAAAGAGGGGCCTCTTTCTGCTGAGAAACATGCCACCTCTGGGAGTCCTAATCTCTTGTGTTATTTTCCCACAGGACTCGGGACCCAAATGTCACCCCCCTCGGACCGTGGGCTGGTCAGGGCCCAGCCGTGTGTGACAGGAGCCTGGAGCGCCTCTCTACAGCCAGCCTCCAAATTGGCCCTGACTGAGCTCTGCGTGGTGCAGCCGTGAACGGTCCTGCTATGGTCTGATGTCTCAGCATGGATGGAGTCAGTCCACAGACTGGCCACCACTAATGAGCGCGTCCCTCTTCAGCTGAGGACTAGCTTTTACAGGATTACTCCCACTGTTTCCTGCTCTTTTCCCAGCTAACGGTGTCATTACCAAATTCTTGGACATTTTGGCTCTATTTTTTGTGGATATATACACCATTTCCTTTTTGAAGTTTATTTGTTTGAATCCATCCAAGTTATTTTTTATTGGTTCTACTTCTGCTGTTGTGTTTTTCCACTATGGAGTTTCTGGCTGGATCGTGGAATAAAGGTTGGGCTTCATTCTTGCATTTTTGGTTGACTGTTATTATAAGCCTCCAAATGCAGTTTGGTCCCAGTACCTCGTGCCCAGTGGAGTGCCGCTGTGACAAACAGTTTGTGTACTGCAATGATCGCAGCCTGACCTCAGTGCCTCTGGGGATCGAGGAGGGCTACAAGATCCTCTTCCTTCACAACAACCAGATCAACAATGCTGGCTTTCCTGTGGAGCTTCACAATCTGGCCTCAGTAGAAACTGTTTATTTGTACGGCAACCAGCTGGATGAGTTTCCTGTGAACCTACCCAAAAACACTAAAATACTGCACCTTCAGGAGAACAATATCCAGACTATCTCCAGAGCAGCCCTGGCCCAGCTCACTCGGTTGGAGGAGTTGCATCTAGACGATAATTCCATCTCCACTGTGGGGGTGGAGGAGGGCGCCTTCAGGGAGGCAGTTAGTTTAAAACTACTCTTCCTCACAAAGAACCACTTAAGCAGCGTTCCCATTGGCCTTCCAGAGGACTTACAGGAACTGCGCTTGGATGAGAACCGAATCGCTGTCATTGCAGAGGAGGCCTTTCAGAATGTGACACGGTTACATCGCCTCCTGCTGGATGGGAACCTGCTGACAGATGAGGGCATCGCACCAGGCACCTTTCATGAGCTGACCAACCTCCGTGAACTGGCCCTAGCCCGTAACTCCCTCACATTCCCCCCTCCCCTCCTCCCCTCCCAGGCACTGGTCAAACTCAGCTTGCAGGAGAACCAGATAAACCAGATCCCTGTGGCTGCCTTCGCCGACCTCAGCCAGCTGGAAAAACTGGACATCTCCAGTAACCAGCTGCAGACTCTGACGCAGGGCGTGTTCGACGGTCTGTCCCGCCTCCGCCAGCTCATGGTGCGAAACAACCCCTGGCGCTGTGACTGCTCGGTCAAGTGGGTGGTGGTGTGGCTCAAGTCCCTGCCCCCCTACGTCAATGCCCGAGGCTTCACCTGCCAAAGCCCTGACAAAGTGCGAGGCATGGCCATCAGAGAGCTCACTCTGGAGATTATTGAGTGTCCCATTGATAAAGAGCAGCCCGCCTGGCCCACTCTGCGCTCCACACCCCCTCCTCCCCCCACCACTGCCCCTGTCACCACCATGATCTCCACCCTCATCACCACCTCTCTGCCATACTACTTTGACTCCCCGTCACCCCCCCTCCCACCCATCTATCACAACCCCTCTGGGCCCCTGCCCCCCTATGAGGACCCCCTTCAGATCTCCTTCCATGTGGTGAACTCCACTAACATCGAGGTGAGCTGGGCTTCCTACTTCACAGTCACAGCTTACAAGGTCACATGGGTCAAAAGGGGCCAAACCCAAATGAGTGAAGGAATGCAGGAGCGGACAGTTAGCGGCGACCGGAGGCACATTAGCCTTTCTAACCTGGAGCCCCGCTCTGTCTACCGGATCTGTGTGCATGTTCTGGACTCACTAAACTCCTATCGGCCCGGAGAGGACACTATCTGCTCTGAGGCCAGGACTAAGTCCACCTCTCCTAAGCCGACTGGCTCAGACCAGTCCTCTCAGGACAGCCTCAACTCCACGCTGCTTTTGGCAGGGATCATTGGAGGGGCGGTGCTCATCGTTCTCATCACACTGCTCAGCTTGTTCTGCTGGCACATGCACAGGAAGAGCCGGTCATCTTCCACCAAATGGAAATACAACCGAGGCCGGAGAAAAGATGACTACTGCGAGGCTGGGACCAAGAAGGATAACTCCATTTTGGAGATGACTGAGACCAGTTTCCAGATAGTGGCACTGAACAATGAACAGCTGTTGAAGGGCGATTTCCGAATCCAGCCCATCTATACTCCCAATGGTGGCATTGGATTTAGAGACTGTCACTTGAGTAACAACAGCATAGCCTACTGCAAAAGCAGCAATGTGCCCAGTACAGAGTTCTGCCACACGTGATGCTGCGAATAGTACAGTATAAGGAACACTTGCATAATTACACATGCACACTATTTGTGTAGACTACAAGCATAAAATTTAGTCAAATTAAACTGTACTATATATATTTCCAAGTTCTGTCTACAATGTAATTTATACTGTGGATAAAAATGTGGGATTCTCTGCTATCTTTTTTATTCCTAGAGAAAGTGTTTGCTTTTTTTATAACCAGCAGAGTTTTGAGAGTTGTTTTAATGGTCAGTACTGTACATGAACATGAATTTGTACAATCATGGCACCCTGGGTGTAGCTTCTTACAAATGCTGTTACAGTTGTAGAGCTGGATGCAGAGGGCTGGGATTCTTTGCTAACCACAGAAGCAAAAATATGGCCTATTTGTGTTTTTAGAAACTGCAATCGCTCTGAGATACAGCCCCACAGTAGTAACACAGCACAGGGCAAATCAAAACATGGCTGATTAGAGCACTGTGGAAATATAGCACTGGTTTTGTTGGTGGTAAGTTGTAAAAGCAGAGTTGAAGTGCACTTTCTTATTAATGGAAGCCGTGCAGGAAATGAACGGCAGTGGTAGTACTCACATGTGGGAGGTTGTGTCATCAGCGCTGGTGAAAAACCCTGGATGAGATTTCCCAGAAGTGCTTTAACAGTAAAAGCATCTTTGTCACACAGATTCACAGCTAAAGGTGGGCTCAGACCGAGGCATGAGCTAGTCTATGGAGTGTCAGCTTCTGCACATTCCTTTTTGTCTAATGAGCAGTAACACGACCAGGTTCAGTTATTAACACGAGTCTAAAAAGCAACAAAGGCTTTTTGTCTGTAATGAGCTGTGTGAATGTGCTGAGCCTCGCAAATCCTTTTGAAGAAATTCCCTAATTTGTTCTGCTTCCTTCTGCCGTACCCCCCTGTTATGACGAGTGGGGCCACAAGGGGGCAGCTTCCCTCAGTTTTTCTGAGAGAGAAGAAAGGCTCATAGATCATTTTTAAGGCGAGAGACACTACAGGCACAACTTTCCTTTTCTGCTTTTTTTTTTTTTTTTTGCTTTTTTGCTTTTTGGTGCTCATATAAGCTTTCATATGAAAAACAGCTTGCATCTAGAAATAAAAATAGTTTTAGTCTCATGCATTAATAGATTTAAATGGCAATTTTAATGACAATTTTCAATCATATCTAGCTAACTGAAATACTAAACATCTGAATATACACAATGGATGAGGATTACAAAGATATAAATAACAATATTCAGCAAGGCTCTATCATTTTTTTCAGAGTTATATGCCTAAATATATATCTAGACAGACATATATGTATCTTTCATTTAGTCAATTTGTACACATAAAAGGCCTTATTTATGTATGAAAACACTGCATGATCAAAAACTACAGTAGAAATCTGTAATGTATACCTTTAAATTTAAGGCTTATTTCCTCTTCACCTGCAGTGTCTCTCCTTAATGATGAGAAACAATCTGAAGCTAACCAGAGTTTCCTGTATGGCAGTCAAATAATATCGATTTTCCCCGACTATTATGAGAGTGGCTTGTGTGAAGGCAGGAAGTAATGTGATTCATTTTCTGATGGCTCACACTAACCGCTAATTATACACCCACTTATTTCAACCTTGTCCCAGCGTTCATTAGACTTTTTGATAAATTAGCAAATTACAACAAAGAGATTACACCCCGCCCCTGGTCCTTACAAAGCACAGAACGTAATCTTGACTGAGCAGCTCATCTAATGTCTCATCATTTATCCTTTTGTCTCCATTTATAAAACTGCCACGTCCTTTCAGCCTACTTTTGTCTGTATAGTGAACCAGCTCATGTCCCTCTCCCAAATTGTCGGCCCAAGTATCTGCATGGTTCTTGCAAAATTCTTTCACGGCTGAAGTAAGATACATATAAAGGCTGCTTATCGGGCCAGTTTTGTATGACCAAAGCAATGAAAAGATGCGACAATGGCAAAAATTATGATTAAAATGCAGTTTTTATCTTGCTTTTGCTTTCAAATCAGTACGGCATTGAAACTGAAACAACATTTAGATATTTACTAAAAGAGACGCATTTGCTTATAACATATCAACAACATTAGCATTTTTATACATTTGATAAACATGCCCTTGCGCATTCAGCCCGAAACGGTATCTAATTTGAAGAAAAAATACGTCATTTTGAGGAAGGCTTTATACCAATTATAATACGGACATTATGATAAAAATACACTATTACAAACATAGAGAAAGTTTGTCTAAAATGATTCTAAAATTCTAAAACTATTCACTACAGATCTAATTTGGTGTTGTTGGTTTTTCTCCAGTATTGATACTTTTGAATTAAATTCTAATGTCAGTCCTAGTTTAAAGGTGCATTGTGTAACTTTTCACCATGGAGATGCCATTGCTTCACCTGTAAAGTTCCACAATATGATATTAAATGTATATAAAAAGGATTTATTCAATTTTTGGTGTTTGTATTGCTCAAAAATACCTTTAAAAACATGCATTCTTACAATGAGTGGGGTCCCCTCTGCACAGATCTTACCTATAAATTGGCCTGGTGTCATTTTCTTGTTTGAAAAGTTTGAAAAGTTGAAAAGATTGAGAAGTTTAATGCCATACTTTGGAATTACTGAGGTAAAGCTATAATCTCTCCATGTAACTGGCGGGTCCTCTACCAGAAAAGTGACACAGTGCACCTTTAATTATTGATAATTAACTGCGTACCAAGTTTTTTCATGCCTCATTTGCTACCTATCCCTGTCTCTGAACTCTTCCTGGCCTCTATTTAAGCCTTTCTGTTCCTCCTTGTCTGATGGTGGTTTCTGCGTGTGAGGTTGCACTCTTGAGCTCTTCATTTTGCACTTCTTAAGACGACTTTATTCGATTTGACAAGATTTTACATCGAGGGGCCTAGCGTAAAAGATTCCCCACCGCTAACACTGCCTCCCCTCTGATAATCCTCAACCCAAAAAGGCAGGAAATACGCAGACCTGATTTTCTCCCGCCTGCAAGAAACTCACAGTTGGAGAGGAATTGCGTTAACTATTTCGAGAGTCAGCTGCTAGCACTGTGGAGTACACCTTATCAGCTTGGAACTAGGGCAAAAAACTGCAAAAAACGTGTGAAAGAAGAATTTGAGGTTTTCCAGTAGTAGTATCTGAAGTAGCAGCACTGTAATTCTAGTGTTGCATTAGATCAAAATCACGCGGCGGGCTAGTTCAAATTTTAACGAAGTCCACGCCTCCACAGTTGCAACCCCAGCCTTGAAGAGAAGCTTTCACATCCATTAGTGTTTTTTGGGGCTTTTTTAGCTGCCAGACTTTTTCTCACTCTCGCTCAGTCTTGTGTAATCTTGAAAGCTTTTGTAACATTGATAAAGTTGAGCAGGTACATTTTTGACATTTTCAAAATTGCATGAAGCACCTTGTAGCGGTTTTAACTTCTACAAACTAAATGGAATATTTTTCCCTTCAAAAAGCAAATGTAAAAGTGGCAGATCCCATCGTAGCTGGGGGGAAAACAGTGAAGCGTATAAAAAGATTGACAAGTGACAAGTAGTGCTATTTGAGGAGCACGCTACGCAAGCTTAAAGGTGCAATGTGTAACGTTTTTTGGTGGAGGGTGCATCACCTGCTTCTTTTCAAGGAGATATTGTGTGGAATTGATCTTATTTATAGCAGGTGACACCACAGGGCGAAGTTACATGTCAGATCGGTGGAGAGGCGAGCCCACTCACAGTAAAAATCTAAGCTTTTAGGTCAAATAAAACTCATGTTATTGAGTAAATGCTAAACCAGAGCAATATAATCTCCATGGAGACAAGCAAGCAGAACAGTGCAATCATGAAACAAAAATGTAAAACTTGATTCTATCAATGCGTAACATATATTTCAGTAGCCTGAAGATAATAAAAAGCAGCATATTTTTTAGAGAATAGAATGTAATTTTCAGCTCATTTGTAACTATTCAAAAAAGGCCCAATTTGCTTCTCTTTATGGGTTTTTCATTTTTGGTATATCACATAACGATTTTTTGAAAACCCTACCTAAAAGTGCACTGTGTAACTTTTCTAGTGAAGGGTCCATGACTTGCTTGTCTTCACAGAGATGCTTTTGCTTACTATTCCTGCTATTGTCTAGAATGTTCCACGGTAAAGATTAAATCTAGCTCAATGGAGACGACTAGGCTATATTGCAGATCAGATCAGATCATTGTATTTTTGAGCTGTAAAAACACCTATAATGAATAAATGTTAGGTTTAGGTGACAGACCCTCCACCAGAAAAGCTCTTCCGTGCACCGTAAAGAACCATCCATGTTTTTTGGTTGACACTGACGACTGGAAAGTGAAAAAAAAATAAGCTGCTGTGTTGTTTTCAGGGTTAGAATGAGAAAATGAGATGGCCATTTTTTTCTAAATTTAAGTCAATCCTTCCCTCGTAATTTTTTGTTTAGGATCCAGCCACTTTCAAGAGTAAAAAGCTGCACTTCCATGAATCTTACATACATTCTTATTCGAAAGAGAGCCCACTAAAACGACTGTTAACGTCAACAATCCAACGCATAATTAGTTTCCTATTTTAAGCTTTCCCTGAATCTTTAGATGTTGTTTTTGCTTTTACCATTTTTGGCTCAGGCTTATTTAAATCTTCTGTGGTTATCAAAGCATCTCCATTTTTCATTTGACCTTTTCTACTAATATCCACATATCAGCTTACCTTACGCATGCACTGTCCACGGAGACACGGTGGGTTTGATCGGCCAGCTCTTTGATCACGCCGTTGGCAATCATAAAGCTTTGCCCACATCTAGCAGTTCACCAAGGGGGGGTTCTATCCATAATTTTATAGTGCACCAGCTGACCTATGTTATATCAGAAAACACTTGAACATTTTAGCAGGCTTTTGTGTGGATTTTTGGATTTCGTTTCATCCCAGTTCGAAGAAATCAAATCGCTGTGATCGCCACGCCCAACATCGCCCCCTGTCTGTGAATGTGTACTCAAGACTTGCCTTACCTTTTATGTAGGAGGATGATCAGAGAGCGGCGTAGCATTAAAAACAAATCGAGCGCTACGACAAACGCTGCGCTTATGTAATCTCGAAAGCTTTCGTCACGTTGATAAAGTTGAGCAGGTACATTTTTGACGTTTTCAAAATTGCACCTTGCGGCGGTTTTAAGTTCAACAAACTAAATGGAATATTTTTCCCCTTCAAAAAGCAAATGTAAAAGTGACAGATTTCAATGTGGCTCGAGGGAATACGGTGAATCATCTTAAAAGATTGACAACTGACAACTGGGGCTATTTGAGGAGCACACTAGACAAAGCTTAAAGGTGCACTGTGTAACTTTTCAGGTAGAGTGTCCGCCACCTGCTTGACTCCATGTACGTTATTGTTTTTTCATGGAATGTTTTACAGTATGGCATTGTTTTAACTATCTCCATGGAGACACATCATTAGATCTGTGGAGAAGTTGGTCCGTTCGCAGTAAAAATGTGTCTTTCAGTTGCTTTGAGAGATAAAAACACACTTAAATGAACAAATACAAGCTATATCTGTTTAATGCCATACTGTGGAACATCCCAGGCTGAAGCAATGACAGGAAGCACGTTTCTACGACAGCAGTATTAGCAAGAAATGACAACACAAACGCGACGCGCAGTAGCTAACAAGTCTGTTCATCCGTAGTGTCAGAACCTTTAGCGGCACATAGATAATGAATCAAGCAGCAGAGGGGAGCTAGGGATGTTTTGCAGCGTGCATTATTTTTTCATTTTGCTTGATGTGAGAATATGGCCGTGAAGCTGTAACCAATGCATTCGATTTTACAGAGGCACTGCTCACAAACCGTTGATTACTGTTTCAGGGTGTCGAGATGAAAATTTCCAGCTAAGCTCATTGAATCCAATATTATGTTTAATCACTGAAAGGTCATTTCAGACAAAACAAAAGTTGTTTTAAATGAGTTTGTGTCATCGTAATGCCTTTGGACACCGTGCATTTCTTCCTACAAGGCAAATCCTGCACTGCAAATAGACAGGAATTTCGTTTCTATGTACTGTAATAGATTCATAGTCTTTCATCGCTTCTGGGTTTTCATGTTTTTGTTTGTAGAGTCATTATTCTTTGTCAAATTCATGATTTACAGATTTAAGATGGCAATTTACGGCGCATGTAAAATCGGCGAGTGTTCATCGTCGCAGTGTTAGCCATCCACAAGCAAGACCTGTCCTAGGAACCAAAGTTAAATTTCTGTTCTCATGACGAACTTTGTTGATGTTGTTCCATGTATGTGCCTTGAGGTTGAACTTACAATGTAAAGTCCTTGAAACCTTTAAATGTTTTTGCACAAACTGTAAATACTTAAGTGAAGCTTTTTGACAATAAAAGAGCCATTGGATTTAAGCGATCACCTTTTTATTTGCAAGAAATCTCTGTGTAAGTGCTAGCCTAAGCCTTTCTCATGTCTAAGGGGGGAGTGTGTACGGATATGGGCCTTGCTAAAGCTATTTTGGGTCAGACGCTGGTAATTCTGGGTCACAGATTTTTGCTATACCACACCAAGTTAAGCTATCCTCTTATTTTGAGGCAGGATGCTTGAAACATCTTAGTGTAGCCACCACAGCTTAGTGAAGAGTTAGGAGAAAATCCAAGGTACTGAACTCTTTCTACTTTTTTGGCAAACGAAAACAAAATTGAGTTATTTTCGCAAATTCTTGTATTGTAATAAGTCCAACTCTCTCCTTCCACTGACCACATCCCAGAGCTGCTTAAAAACATTCAGTGAAACCTAAGCTAAATTGACTAATGTAATTAAAATCAACAAAAGCCACAAATGCATCACAGGAATGGGCGCCTGTTTTGCCATAGAAGACTATTTTGTTTTCGCACAATTATCGTCGGTTATGAAAGAATTGCAGCAGTGGTCAGCAAATTAGATTGAGGTACTTTTTACCGAAATATAAATCATCAAAACATTCCTGAATCCCAGTTTAAAATGTGAACAGTGCTGTGGCTCTGTCCATGTTTGATTTTACTGTTGACAATTTTCCACCACTTAACTTTTATGAGTCGTACTTAAGCATGTACAATCACTGTTTAATAGCAGAGTAAACAGCAGATAGGATAGTACACTGACTGTATTTGCAGTATGGTGTATATTTATTTCATATACTGAATTAGGTAGTTGACATATCAGAAAAACAGTCATATTTCAACAGATGTACAAAGTTTGAATACTGACTATATCTATAAAATGTTTTAAAAGACTATAAAAGAGATGATTAACAGTAAAACAAAGAGAAGCTTGCAATGTATTCTACCAAATAATGGTTTAAGGCAGAAAACTCCAAACTATGCTTCCCTTCAGACCAAGTCCCTCAGACCAATTTTTTTTCTTAACCGTCCTTATTCCTGAAGAACTGGCCTCAAGAGCACATTTTATAGTAAGTTTAAGAATCTACCTCTTATAAAAACAATATTAGCAAGCTTTTTAATGTGTACTATTGAGTTTCAAGCCTAAATGAAGGTCTTGGGGCTTAATCTAATCTCTGCTAAACACACCCACTTGAATTATTCACTGTATTTATGACCAGTCTATGGCCATCGATCAGTCCTACGCTTTGTCTGTGCTTCAACATGTGGCCTTTAATCGAAAAAAAAAGTTGTGACACTCCTGGATTTGACTTGACAGACCATTTGTATTTCATGTGATGCTTGAGGCTCATAATGATGGATTTCCATAATATTATAATATCAAAATACTGCCATTGGGGCCATGCAAAAAATATTGAGATATTCTTTATAGTCAATATCACACAGCTTTAATACTACCAATTGTAAGTTGAATGGATATTTTTACTAGTAGATTAGGGCTTGAAATTAAGCATTTACAAGTACTTGCCTGGGCAACTGGCTATAATTTTTTACTTGCCCGACACCCAGATCTACTTGCCCGGAAAAACAAAACAGTGCTCAGTTTATTATATATTTTTAAATATATGCACAGGCTAGTGTCGTAGTACTCTAGACCATTTTTTAAGGTCTTGGTCTCGTCTCTTTTTAAAACATCCTACCTGTCCAGCTGCCTCATGTCAGCGCACTGCTCCTTACCTTTTCACTCTCGCTCCTCCCTGCATATAATGCAAACGGGCTTCCTCCTCAATGCCCACATATTAGAAGAGTAATACAAAATGTGAAGCAAAAACTAATCCAAATTTATATTAAATTGTTGGCACAAAGCAGGACTTCTGCTACATGTGGTTGAAGTTTGCCTAATAAAAGTGCTCAAAATGCATCTGTATTTGTAATGATGTGCGTTTGATTAATGTGCAGAGGCTTAAATCCCACTGCAAAACCAGTAAGAGAATGTAACTCCAGTTAGAAACTTGACAAAACAGGTTTAAAAGTCCTACTAGCTTTATTCACTTGGAAGCAGTTTTGTGTAAAATACCAGTGGAAGTTCTCTTAAAGAACGCGTTCTCAAACTGTGGATGAGAGCCCAAAAAAAGGCAGTGTTCAGTACAGTACAGTTTGCTTGGATTAATTTAAGCTTAAATACACATTTACCAGATAAAAAAAAGATGGATTTCAAAAAAATATTGATATATATATGTGCTAAAATAACTGTAAAATGCAAATAAATGTCAAAAATTACAAAGATGGTCTTGATTTGGTCTTGATGGGCCATGGTCTCAGTCTTGTCTCTGTCTTGACCCTCAGAGGTTTTGGTCTAGTCCTGATCTCGGGACTCTGAGGTCTCGGACAGATTTTGGCCTCGATTAATGCGGTCTTGACTAGAACACTAGCACGGGTCTATAAAAACTTTTTTTTTTTTTTTTATATGAATACCAACACAACATGACCACAATGACTAAATGGATTCAGAGGGCAGGGCAGAATCTCAAATATATAAAACAAGTTTAAATCATTTCATACAACACTCCACAGTGTAAATATGGAGGAAAAAAAGAAGCATAAATGAAAAAGTGTGTCCAAATTTGTATGTATACGAGATGAAAACGACTATCGTTGGTCTTCTCATTAAATTGTTTTCTCTTGTATCTATTCAGAAATCTAAGAGTTGAAACACAACGTGCCTCAGGTTGTCAGACCCAGGGCAACCTGAGGTATAAAAATGTAAACTGTAACTGTACACTTTGCGCACTTATGAAGAAAACTACTACATATCTCTGTCCTCTGCAGGCTACAGTGAAGTTAGTTTGGATGCGTAATGCGTTAAGAAAACATGGGATTAACGCGCGAGACACTGGAGAGAGGGGAAAGGCACGGAGTGACGCAGAGCTGTGAGGTGCACAGGTAGGACTGTTCTGTATGAATGGATCTCAGTACGAGGTGGCAGAGGGAGTGCGCACGTACAGGGCTTCATGAGGACCGGAGTAGAGAGGCGGGTTTAATGTGGAGCCGCGCGGTGTTCTGGTTCAGAGCGCACGGATGCTTGGAGACGTCTCGGTACCGCCCGAGTGAATGTTATTCTCTAAAGCGCGGGCTATAATAATAACCTATGTATTTTTAACTAGATACTGAGATTACTGAGTAGGCCTAATAAATATATCGCCAAGTTTTGGAGTTGGGTTTAGCCCTGAGTTCGCTCTTTGTTCCGATGTGTAATGAAGCTTCCTGGAGCTGTGATGGTAGAGTGACAGACAGAAAAAAGGGGTGGAGTGGCGTGGTCCGCACTATGGGACATTTTTGATTGACTGGGCAAAGATTGCGGAGCAGGAGGCAGAGTAATACTACATCTGTTTTATTTAGGTTGCCTTACAGTCAATGGGAAAGACAAAACATGGTGATGCACACAGCAGAGCGCATGAAGTGAGCATCGCGGCAGTTTTTCGCGGCAGTCAACAATTTTGGACTTTTCTGTTCCGTTCACACAAAAAAAAAAAAAAAGCGTGTTATGAGCAGACAACCCGTCGCTTCGTTTTTCAACCAAATTAATAGTTATTATTATTGGGGGACTAGATTTGTGGCGCTTTATTTTCACTTGCCCGCTCGGGCAAATAGGCAGACGAGAAGACTTGCCCGGACAAAACTAGTTGCCCGGGGCCAGCAGACAACCGTTAATGTCGAGTCCAGTAGATGTTCTCTGGTCTTCTTCTGTCAGGCCAAAGCTGGCACATTATCAGACTGCAGTAATGTAGATAGCATCTAGTGGTCAAGTGTGAGAATAAAACAGGGGCGGGTCAGCCTCTCTAATTACTCATGGTAGCTTTAAAACTTCCATGTTACGCTATTTTCTGATCTATACTATAATGTTCCCTTGTCAGAAACATAGCTGGAGTTCTGTTTTGTCTCATTCACAAATGTTTAACACAAAAACCTGAATATTTAGACTGAGTTCTTCTCTCTGGAAAAAAACAAAACAAACTGAAAACACTGGTTGTGGTGTCAGTTGCAATGCGACAATACAGAAAGTGCTTCACAGCGTTTTTTAAACTCTATACACCTTCACTAGAATGGTTTGCATCATGTCAGCCTTAGAATTGCCAAGCTTTACTGAACTAAAGCTAAAAAAATCTGTTAATTAAAAAAAAAAAACATGACATGAGCTTTGGATATATAGACAGATTCATAATAATGGATCACTAAAATGTATGAATGAAACATAACACAACTCCAGGTATGTTTTTGAGGAGCTAACAACATTTTAACATGGCTTTAAGCACTCCAGAGAAAATTTTGTGTAATATAGAACCGTTGAAAAGAACATACTTTTTGGCTTTGGCATGTTTGAGCAATTCTGACATTATATGCACAGGAAATATATTACAGACTCGTCTTGAAAGTAGTAACACAACAGTTTTTACAGTATTTCATTATAAACTCTTTTACAGTATCAGTGTTTTCTGGCAAGTGTCTGTTGGAGCATTTGGTGAAGTCATTCAGTCTGAAACAGGCTGCGTTCAGGAGCCCATATGGCCTCCTCACTGATGAAATGTGTGGATTCTGTCTTTGAATTGTTCTACAGCAGGTGTTGGCTCTGAGCAGCCCTGTTCTAATCTCACACTGCCAAGAGAACATTGAGTTTTAGGCTCAGTACACCAGCCTCAACAGCTATACTTCGTGATCAGTGTTTAATGTCGTCTCATCAGCTGCTGTGTGTAGGAGAATTCATTAAGAAAACTATTACAAACTATCTGATGTTAAAGGAAAGAAAAGGCAAGTTTATACCCAGCTCTTCAGATTAAAGGTCCCATATTACATTTATTTATTTATTTTTCTGATCTATGTTATAATGTTTACTCATCAAAAACATACTTACTCATGTTTAACATACAAATCCTACATAGTTAGGATGAGTTCTCCTCTCAAACACAAAACACTCTGTTCCACCTTGTGATGTCATGTGGTAATACAGAAAGTGCTA